TGTGTGTGTGTGTGTGTGTGTGTGTGTGTGTGTGTGTGTGTGTGTGTGTCTGGGTGGGGGGGGTGCGGCGATGTCGTAACCCAACATGGCAGAACTTCGAACTCAGTTTGAGGGAGAGCAATTTGGGTTTCAAACCACTGTCCTTAAGTCCTCAACTTAAATAAGGGCAAATACAGAGGTATGAAGAAACAGTTGTCTAGAAAGAGCTGGGAAAATAGACTAAGGGGAAAGTGCATAAATTAGCTCAGCAAAAATTTTATTCCTGTCAGAAGGATGAACCTTCCATAGTAAACAAATACAGTCAAAGAGAGTAATCAATCAGAAACTAAGGCAACAAAACAGCATGAACTAATGATAAGCCAGAGGATTGACAATTGTTTAAGAACCAGCAGTGGATGACAAGAAACCTAATAAAGAAGGAGAAAATTATTTATGAAAGTAAATTGGCAAGAAATATATAAAAAAAGGGGATATAGAAACAGAGTGGCTAAATTAAGTGTGGGACCCTTAGGGGATGCAACTATAAATTAGTAACAGAGAATAGGGAACGGGCAGGTAATTTAGTTCAACATTTTTCAATGGCTTTCTTGATGGAGGACACAGTAAAACATCCCAAAGCTAATAGCTAAGCAAGGTGCCAATGGAAGGAAAGGGCTCGCAACGGTCTAAATCTTTGACAAGTGAAAGAAAGACTAACAGTTTATTTCCTAAAGTATCATGAAGCAATAGAATAAACAAAACTGTGGACCAGGATAGCTTTATGATATAGAGTTTGTGCTGCTCTAGAGAGGGTGAGAAGTTGCAAGTCTCAGTGCATGGTGCTGCCTAAAGAATCTTATGACTCAATGAAAGCTGTGGTTTGAGAAACAGAGAACATCTGGGTTTTATGTAACCATGGAACTTCAGTCAGAATCCATACAGAAAAATTTGGAGCCAGAAATGGTTGGGTGAGTTAAGAGAGGTGGCTGAAAAAGCAAGTTTTAAAGTGGATACCCAATCAACATGAAACAGAAAGCAACACAGCTGAAGAAGATAGAGATTTTGAAAAACCTAGTTGAACAAAAAAAGCAAAATTTCTTAAAGAAGGGCATTCCTGGAAATGAATGGCCACGAATTAAACATAAATACAGTTCAATAAAAACATAAGATTCTGCTTAGTTGGATGGGCAACTCTTAAAGGAGAGAAAAACAGCATTTTAAAGCAAAGGTGAGAAACAACAATGAATTAAGGCACATTCGATGTCTAAGGGCATGCTATAAACATTAAAAGGGGATAAAAATGACTAAGGAAAATTTATAAGTGAATATGGAAACAGACGTGAAGGATAATGAAAAGTTTAAAAATTACATGGGCAATCCAAGCGATGGAGTTGTGCCATCAGAAATTGGATCAGCTAACGGCATGAAAACTGATGCAATACAAGTTGCACAAGTGCTACAAAATATTGTGCCTTGGTTTTTATTAAAGAAGTGAAAAAAATACTTATTTAATCTGGAGAATGAGTGAGATGCTGTTACAGACATAAGTTGCATCACTATTTAAATTGCTACTAGCATAGTTGCTGAACAGTGGATAAATTTATAATGATAAGGGAAGAAATTGCAGGAACTCTGGCAAAAATCTTCCAGATTCACTGAACACTCCTATTTTCTAAATAGAAGGCAGCAAAACTGACCCAAGAAACTAGCAGTGAGTTTGATGTCTATTGTGCTTAAAGTTATGGAGAAACTTTGTTAAAGATATATTCAGAGTACGCGGATGGAAATAAAAGTGTCTTAAAAAAGATAATCCCATATGGTTTCATGATGGGCTGTCTCATCAATTTAAATAGCCATTTTTGAGGCATAGAATGCACAGTGGATATGGTGCACTTGGATTTGATAAAGAACTTTGGCATTGTTCTGGAAAGGCTATACTGAAAATAAAGAAATAAAGAATCTGAAATACAATAAAATTATTTATGATGTATGCATAACTGGTTTATCAAGAAAAGCCAAAGAGTGACACATGGTTATGGACTTTCCTCAGTTTAATGTTTTCATAAATCGTATGGAGTCAGGACTCAGAAATGCAATATCTCAAATTTGCAGCAAATACGTAACTAATGAAAGTGGTAGGCACCAATGGTGAAAAAAAAGTGAGCCACATGAAGATACTGGGTAATTGGACAGGCTGGCTGCAGATGAAATTCAGTGACAAAATACAAAGTACTTCACTGGAGAAACAAAAATCCAGGGATGGGTTATTGAAATCAAATAAAATAATGTGCATGGAAAATGAGAGAGATGTGAGGTTTCAAATGTTATTAAAGTGAAGTCATTACTGCAATGCTCAGTGACTGTGAGTAAAGCAACTCAAATGCTGGGGTGTATTTAAAGATTGATATTAAATAAAATAGCACAATTACTGACTCTGTATGCTTTCAGAAAGTATGCAGTATTGAAAACAAATCAGAATGACAGAGGATGAAGGGATTTGACTATAAAGAGCCTATATGTAAATTGGAAATATTCTCAATAGAAAAAAAGAGATGAAGGAGAGATGGTAGGATTCTGAAGCAACTGGTTATGTAGATTACAACAACAATGTTTCACCTTGGCAGAGCTGAAAAATGAAAAATATGGCTTGTACTTGAAGGTAGGTAAATACAAAACTAATCTGTGGAAAAATTATTTCAGGAAATGAGTGGTAAGCTTATGGAACAGGCTTTCTAGGGAGACACAAAAAGGAGTTAGTATTTGTTCCAATGCAAATTAAAGATAAATTATTCCAAAATGTAATATTTTGGGATACAGTACAGAATTAATTTGCTACATGGAATATCATAAGAGCAGCAGGCTTGGGAGGAACAGATGACTTTGGACATAATTTCTGTAACTCTGTGACCAAAAGGACTGTGGATGCTCAGTCAATGAACAAATTCAAACTGGGAGATTCGCAGATTGTTTTTGGATGCTAAGGGACATGGGGATAGGATAGAAATATGGAATTCATGTCGAAGTTCAGCCATGACCTTATTGAATGATGCAGAGGTTCGAGGAACCATACACTCGACTCCTGCTTCTATTCCTAATGCTTCCCATATCTTTCCACTCATGGGGAATTTCTCTCACCTCATGGCTGGTTGTAGATTAATTACCATCATTGGCTATAACACATTTTTAGATCACACAATTACCAATATGGCAGCAGATGAACTAGATAGACCAGGATCTACCCAGCGGGCTGGGCAGTTTCTGTGGGACAGCAAGTAAAGTTAACGTTTGGAGTCCAGTCACCCTTCTTCAGAACTGATGGTAGGTAGGAAACGGGGCATGCGGGTGGAGAGGGTGTGTGTGTGTGTGTGTGTGTGTGTGTGTGCGCGCGCACGCGCGTGCGTGCGTGCACATATGCGTGCGCGCACAGCAGGGGTGTGCAGAGAAGGCGCTAAAGGATAGGGAGAGACAAAGCCCAGGCAGAAAGAACAGACAACAGTTAGGAATACAAAGGCCTGGAGAGTAGTAAGCTCAGAAGAAAAGCTCAGAGCTATCCTATAACTGGATGCGTTCATGTGTACTATGGTTGAACTCAAGTGGTTAAGGCTGTATCTGCATTGCCATATGGAAGTGAAGTTGAGTAGAGGGAATCTAAATTATTGACTTCACTTGAAGATATTGTTTTCCTAGCTACCATCAGTTCTTTAGAAGGGTCACTCGGCTCGAAACATTGACTCTGCTCGCTCTTCACTAATGCCACCAGACCTCTGGAGTTTCTCTAGCAAATTTTGTTTTTTTGTTTAGATTTCCAGCATTCAGTTTTTTTTGTTGTATTATAGACTGGAATCTATTTTCTCTTGCAATTTCTTTATTAGCAGATTAAGTTATGCTTTAAAATGTAGAATGAGGATAGTGAAGATTTTATCAAGTAATGAAGGAACAGCACAAATATGGCATTAAAACACTGATATATCAAACGGTCATAACATTTATAAATTCATCAAGAAAGATATACTGCAAGTTGAGTCTCAGAAAACACAGTCTCCATGTATAAATTCCTTTTGACACGTGTAAGTATACACAAAGGAAAGAAGCAATTTTGTACAAACACCAACAGTTAAATGATAACAATTTACCAATATTAAACTGGAAAATCATTACAACAAAATACATTATAACTTCAATTCTGATGCACTGGATGTTTGCTTTATTACCCTCATTTGGAGGGCTTTGCAATGATGTTTCACTACTTTGTTTTATAAATGCCACTTGTCATTGTAGTGGCCAGAAACTGAGAAAAGCGGAAGGAGGATTTTACTGTGCCACAATTAAAATTTCTAAAAATGCATTTCTACCCTCCGACCACCCACCTCCAAATGAAAATCAACAATTTAGATCCCCACTACTCAACAGAACATTTCATTTCCATATCGCAATGCAGACGCTATGCGCCAAACTAAACCACTTGAGCTGAGCAGTAGTACACACACAAACATCCAGTTACAGGACATCTCTGCAGCATGTGTGCTTACTTTACAGACTTGCTATTACAAAATATTTTGAAACCACTTATTTCTTTAAAACTTAGAATTAATGGATATTTATCTAGTTAAATGAATAGAAATAAGTCACATCAGCCTATGGCACATATTAAATGTCAAAGTCCTGTGGAGGAATTTCAGAAATGTCAATTTTGTTTCCACAGACAGGGTAATATCTTGAAATATCTGATGTACTCTATAACGTACTTTATGAGCCTATTTTTTAAAAAAAGATGCTCCTTACCTGCCTTACTCTTTTCTTTGAACTTCCAACTCTAAATATACCTACGGTTTGAAGACCTGCAGAATCAAAAGTAATTATAAAAATGTACGTTATTGTCTTGAGCAACTTTTATAGCAAAAAGAAACAGTATGTGCAGACAACAAAATGGTGTTCATCACATCCATAACCGATCAGAAAAATCCCAACAGAATTTGAAATAGAACAGTATATTTTCAAAATACTGGTTTGGAAGAACTTTTCGACATTTAAAAAAAACTTTTGGGCCTTGGAAAGATTCCGGTAATTGTGAAGATTCTTCTTTCATCTGATTTCAAGATGTGGGTCAAGTAATTAACATTATATTTATTGCCAGGTATCAATTGTCAGAAAATTGTGATGAACGGGTCTTTCACTAGAATTCCACATTTTTTTTGTGGGGGGGCAGTGCAGGGGCAGGTAATGGTACTCCTATGTTATGTTGGGAATTTCAGAGTATGGATCCAAAAGCAAATAGACTAGAAGTCCTATGAATTAGGATGGTGTGAGACTTGAAGATGAACTTTCAAGTTCTGCTGTTCTCACAATAATGCTACGCTGGGCTTTCATATTGATGTGGATTGCAGAGTAACTGAGGCACTGTAATGTAATCTCTTTGACTTCGTGCGGTGAATTCTGCACCATGTAGGTACTGCAGTTGCAATTTGAATGTGTCACAACTTGGTGGGATTTGAATAGTGTGATGCTTCCCAAACTTATTTCCATTGTCAAGGCACTTTGGTGATTGAAAATTGTTCCAACCAAAGAGCTTTGAGGAAAAGGGTATTGGGGGGCTTAGAGAGGGGGAGTGGGGGTCCTGTTTTGGGTTGGATGGAGGGGGTCAGTTGGGGAGAAAATGGGAGACAAGTTGAGAAACTCATGACTGCAGGGTGTTGGAGACAGAAAAGTTGTTAAAACACAGGATTTTATTTTAAGTAATGAAGCACCTACTTCTAGGGGTTTTGATTAGGCAGAGAAATGCCAATTAGAATTTAATTCAGACAAATGCGAGGTGATGCATTTGGAAGGTCTAACACTTCCCTCCTGCATACAGTAAATGGCAGAATCCTTAGAAGCATTAACGTAGAGGGGCATAAGCATACAGGTCCTCAGTTCCCTAAAAGTGACAAAACAGGTGGATAAAGTGATCAAGGAGGTATATGGCATGTTTGCCTTCATCAGGACATACAGTATAAAAATTGGAAAGTCATGTTGCAGCTGTATAAAACTTTAGTTTGACCACATTTGGAATACTGCCTGCGGCTCTGGTCGCCACACTACCAGAAGGATGTGGAGAGGGACAAAAAAAAAGGTTCACCAGGAAGTTGCCTAATTTGGAGGCTATTAGCTATGAGGAGAGATTGGACAAACTTGGTTTGTCTTCACCTGATAGAAGTTTACAAAATTATGAAGGGTGTGGATAGAAATGTATTTTTTACCATAAGTTTAAGGTAAAAAGGGGGAAAGTTTAAAGGAAATGTGAGTGGCCAGTTTTGTTTTTACACGAAGGGTGGTGTTTGAATGTGCTGCCAGAGGAAGTGGTAGAAGCAGATACCTTTTAAATGTTGCCATTGTATCTCGACAGACACAAGAATAGGTAGGAAATAGAGGGATGTGGACCACAGAGGCAAAAAGTTTTCAGTTTAGAAACATGTCACGCGTTGGCGCAGGCTTGCTGAGCCGAAGGGCCTGTTCCTGTGCTGTACTGTTCTTTTTTCTTTAGGCAGCAATCAAGCTTTGAGGATCTGCCAATTAGACAGTGCCCACCATTTAAAAACTACAATGATTTAAAGGGGATCACACAGTTGTTGGCCCTCAATTGGAACTCAATGGCGGCACTGCTGCATTGGAGGTCATAGCTCCAGAATTTTAGCTCAGGAATCCACAGGGGTCAAGACCCACAGTTTGAGAAGCTCTGGTAATAGGGCTTTTAAGGCAATCAAGTTTGTTGCCTTCTCCTTAATGGTGTCAGGTTTCATAAGCATCATTTTCGTGTTTCCATCCAGGTGAATGGCGACAATTCATTGACCTGAACCTTATAAATGGTGGAGAGACTGAGAGGAATCAAGTGGTGAGACGCTTGTCAAGAGCACACAACATTTGCTACATTCTCATAAATGTGACTCTGACATGAATAATTCAGTTACAATCTATAAATGGCAAATCTCCACACCAGCCAGAGAATTTAATCCCTGGGGAATCAGTGAAAGTGTCATTGATAGTCAGTTGAACACGTTAGAGTTTCCTTGTTGAAGGTAGTTGTTACTTGGCACCAATAGCTGAGAGCCCAAGAATGATTATTGTCTAAAACCCTTCCTCATGCTATTGTAGTCTTACAAATAAATCTCATTACCTGACCCTGTGATGGAATGAAGAATATTGAGAAAGAAACAGATGACAGTTGTGCTCAAGACAGCTCTCTGAACAGACCTTGCAATCATGTCATGGAGAAACGTTGATTGGATCACCTTCGTTAAATTAGACCTAGTCATCGAATAACTTTCCCTCAGATTTGCATTAACCTTGAATTTGCCACAGCTATATGTGGTCAAATGTTGTATTAATGCCAACAGCAACTACTCACCTGTCATTTGACATTCAGCTATGCATCAATACTATCCAGTTGTGATTTCAAATAAACCTGTTGGACTATAACCTGGCATCATGTGACTTCTGACTTTGTGCACCCCCAGTTCAACACTGCCATCTCCACATCATTTGAAGTGAACAGAACTGCACTGACTAGATAAGAGCATATTGGGTCTTGGAGACTAAGGTGATGGATTGAGAGGGATCATTCACTTGTTACCTGTGGCTGACGGTATGTGCAAAATTTGGAGCCTTAACCCTTGCATACTCAAGTGAGCAACACAGCATCAATTGTAGTCCATTCAGTCTATTCTGCCATCCAAACATGTACGGTTGGTCTACACCATAAATGCACCCACCCTTAATCCCTACCTTTTGGTTCTGTTGCCTAACAATGATCTACCAACCCCAGTCTTGACAATTTCAAATGACTGCAGCAATCAAAATGTCATTCTGAGGACATTTAAACTCCCACTTGTTAGAAGTAAGTGCATCCTGATTTGGCTGTTTTACAATGACTTACAGAATCAATATGGATAAAAGGCTTACGTCCTCCATCCAGAATAACAGACTTTCACCACTTCATGACTCTTCGTTGAGACTGGATTTTCTTTTTAACATGCACTACCATAACCGATTGTGATATGTGTCATTAACCTCCTCTTAGCCTGTTTGAACCAGTACCACTTTGATCTGGTATCCTAGCACACCTGAAGGTAAGGGTCCAGAATAATTCATTTCTTCTTGTAGCTTCCCAAAGACTTTTCATAAAAAGGAATGCTGAATCCTCAGTAAGTGATGCTTTTAAGATTAGCTCAAATTACGCAAAAATCCATATACTGTATCCCCAAGAATGTTAGGAATGGTTATGACAGCAATACTTACCATACTTTTCTAGATGCTGACAGCAGCTGTCGACTAACCGAGGCACCTGGCGATAAATAGGATTGAGGCTTAGCTTTTTGTCTCTTTGTTTTTCTTTCTTGTTTGGCATTTCTGTTGGGAGCGAGAGTTGCAAAGCTTCTAACAATCTAGACTGATCATCATCCAGGTCAGTGATAGAATCCACAGACATTCCACCCTGCAGAAACAAGAAAGAAGTCAAGGAGCAAAATGATCTAGAAAGACAGTGTGTAATATTTCAAACCCAATTACTTTTGGCAGTGGTGAAAACATTTTAACAATTTAGCCAAGTCTACAGATTGACAAAATTTGGTTACCAAAGCACATGCCCAGCGTAGACATGCAGCAATTAGTTGACATGCATCCACTACCTTAACTGGAGAGGTTCAGGCCTTGCCTGAGAGTAATATATTGGACATCAAACTATAGATGTCATTTTTGGGTGGCATTTCCTCAGGGAAATCCATCATTTTGAATCTATATGCTATGCAGCAGCTATTTACCATGTACTAAACTGCTTTACAAGCTGCAAATGTGTTGAGCAGGAAATGCATGCTCAACATCGGTGCACTGCCCTCCACCTTGATAAAGGCTAAAAATGGTAAAGGTACCTTATAGCCAAGGAGCCTGATATCTGCAAGATTGGTTTACCCTGAAGGAGTCAGCAATTCAAGTTCACCTTTGAAGTGCAGGGATAATAACTTGTCAAGATAAGTCATCATAGTCTTACCAGACCGTAAGGCTGCTCTCTCATTACAAAGATGACTGCTGGCGATTTAACACGAGGGCCACCATACCTCAGGCAAGGGCAGGGGTTGAGAGCAGAGTCCTTCATGGTAACATTAGATGGTGGTAGAAATTGAACCTATTGCTGCTCTTTTCACACTGCTTCGCAGACCAACCGTCCAGCCAACTGAGCTAAACCAGCCCCCATAATGACTTGTACACACTTCTTGACCATGCCCCCTTACCCACATGAACCCTGTCCCCTCCCTACCAAAAAGACAGGCCAGAATTTTTAGGTTCATTTTATTGTCTTTTTGGATTGCTCATCCAGGATGTTACAGAAATTCTACCTGAGCCTTACACAAATCTCATACTGACTTGCTGCGATTTCAGAAAATACCTGTTTTTCTACTGAGCAGTTAAAAATGTTGACTCTTATGACTATCATAAGAGTTTTTTTTTCCCCCAAATTCAACACCTTTTTTTTTTAAATCTATGGAAATCCAAGCAATGTACCTATAACTCTAAATTATCACAGGGGAAGCCTTTTTGAGCTGTGCTTGTGGAAACCTAATGTGTCTGCTTTAAATGTTGGAATTAAACGCCATATTAGCCTCAGGATTCTCAAGAGGTTTCACAGTTTGCTATAAAAGTTAGAAGCTAAACTAAATTCAACTAAAAGTACAAAATAAAAGTTCAGTAATGTGCCCTTCTTATCAGTCAGAATCTATCCCAAAGAATATTAATTATATGCTAAACTGGTGATTATCTTATAATGATATTTCTGGTTGAGGGACGTTCTTGTGCATAAGTTAGGTTCTACAGTCCTTACAACACAACAGTGACTACACTCAGAGTACTGTATTAGTTATAAAGTGCATTAAAATATTCTGAGATCTTGAAAGATTCTTTCTCTTCTATCATTCCATGGGAGGAGGGCACCAATAAGCATTTCAGATCAATTTGAATTCATCTGCAAGTTTGCGTCATTTAAGTGTGAAATATTTCTTTAAAAATATTTTATAATTCTAACTCTGCATTTTGTTCTAATGCAGTAGCAAAATTACCAAAATAGTTCTCTCCTCCATTTCAGTTTTTGACAGAAGTGACCAGTTGGCATTGAACAACTGTCCAAAATAATTGGTGGACTTCACAGAGACTGTGACCTTGGCCCTTATAACTTCTATTGTGACATAGTGCCACAAAAAACTGTCCCATCCGGACAGTTGCCTGCAGTAAGCATTGATGTTATAAGTAATAGGGGCTGTCTGAGAACCGCAATTATTAGCATTCCCATTAGTTCAGTGCTGGATTATCAATGGGAATCCTTGTGGACAAGGACAGAGCAATAGCTAAAAGCATATTACTTTCCTTCATCGATTGTCACCGTGGTGCTCTTTTCAGCAAGGTAAGCTTTGTGGAACAGCTGATTTATCAGTTCTAATTTGCATCATATAGGCATACAAACCTAGGAGTTTCAGGTAAACAAATGCTCGAGGTAACGATAAAAAAAGCCGACTTGTCGATCCTCAGATTCTGTAGGCGAGCATTTGTCAATATTTTTAGCAAAAGGTGCAGTGGTGCACTGGTTATGCTACTACACTGGTCACAAAATCTCTACAGTGTGGAAGCAGGCCATTCGACCCATCGTGTCCGCACCATCCCTCCGAAGAGCATCCCACCCTGACCCATGCCACTGCCCACCATCCCTGTAACCCCGCGTTTGCCATAGCTAATCCATCTAGCCTGCACATCTCTGGACACCATGGGAAATTTAGAATGGCCAATCTACGTAAACTGCACATCTTTGGACTGTGGGAGGAAAGCGGAGCATCCAAAGGAAACCCATGCAGACACAGGGAAAATATGCAAACATAGACAATTGCCTGGGGGTGGAATCGAACCTGGGTCCCTGGTGTTGTAAGACAGCAATACTAATCACTGACCCACCCTGCCATTTCAGTGACTTAGAAGCCTGGACTAATAGGTAACACAAGATCAAACCCCATTGTGGCCATTTGAGAATGAGAATTTAGTTTAAAAATATCTGGAATTAAAAATTTGGAATCAATGTAACTGACCATTACAGATTGTTGTAAAAACACAACAGGTTCATTGTTATTTTTGATGGAATGAACTTTTCCATCCTTTTTCATTCTGGACTATATAGGGACCCAGAGGCATACCAACATGGTTCACTCCCATTTGCTCTCTGAAGTGGCCTAACAAGCCAAGTGGTTGGTTTATATTTGCTACAAATCACATGGGACCAAACAGGCTTCCAACATTATATTATCAGGATAATTGGACAAGTTGGCCTTGCAGTGATGCAAAACGCTGCATTTAAACCAGAAGTTTCTTATTTTTCTCTTGATCTTTACCAGCTCTATAACAGTGGTCATGTGTCATTAAAATCACTGGTGCAAAGTGCCCTCAATGCTCACAGCTGTCACTGTTAAGGGATGCTGTTTCATGTCTGCTGCAAGTAGCAATCTACATTTATAAAATAAATGACAGGCATTCTAAAGTCAAGCTTATTGTGTTATGTCTCAGTCAGTATGCCTTTAGCTACTCTCTCTATCATAGCATGTAATCTGACAGTATATAGATATTATGCTCTATCTCACCTAGGATCACTTGAAGCACAGCACACTATTGGAAATATGCTCCTACATTGTAAACTAATAGCTTAATATTGGCCCAAACACTTATATGCCTGATGAACATGTTGATTGCCCATAACAGATAGTTTTATTAAAACGTCTGTTGGATTCTTCAATACCATAATATTAATACACAGATTCTTATGTTATAAGAAATAACATAAGCATTCCATATCAAGCAAAATAACCTGCTAGAGACAAACTTAGACCATGGTTCAGGGAAGAAATCATGCCAGCTCCTTGGTAGTGTGGTTATTTATCACTAAAACCAACAACTTTTGACTTCTCTGACTGTTTTGTAAGTGTTTGATGATTAAAACATTTCACCCCCTTCCTCCACTACTGTAGATTTCCATCAAAACTTGTGCAAGATAGGTTTAGTGACACACACTCTCCTGTGCTCAGTAATGTGATGGAAGTGCCTTCATTGAGCTGTATCAATAAATCAAGCTAGCTCTGTTTCAAAGCTTGTTAACCAAAATACCAGTCTTCAAAATCAAATCCAACCTTCCCTGGCCTTGCCAATCTATCCAGCTTCCAAAGGCACCTGACAACATATTTCTCAATTATGACCTCCAAAATTACTCAGCTGACTGGATCAGCACTAGGAATAAGATGAAAAGTGAAAATGATGTGAATGAATTTAGATATATATCCTCCTGAAAAGCTAACGCTCAAGTTATTTGCTTTAAAAGTACAAATTAGATCTATTTAATGAAATAAATAACTTTGATTTGTGTGGAATCTTGCACTCTTCGTATCCTAACCTCATCCTAAATGCATTTGAATGAATCAAATGTATTTAAATCCACCCTCCTATCTAGAGAGTCTGTTGCATGGATTGACCACTCATTCACTGGAAACATGTTTCTGCAGACCAGTTGCAAACAGCAAAACAAAAATCCCACGGCAGCTACAGACAGTTGGCTGCTGTTTGGAAGCGTAAACTGACAGTCAAACACAGATTGTCATCTCAGTAGATAAATCGTGAAGATTTTACTCAGAATTTATCCGTATTAGTAGAAATGAACAGGCTTACTTTCCTTTCTGGTTGCACCACATTAGCCATATTATATCATTGGTCCTCAGCATCAAAGTCATCAGATTTGAAAATGGGAAAAATGAAACACAAACTTGCACGGGTTCTAGACTTCACCAATCTTTCTCAATTGATAATTGAGATTTTGGAAAACTGTTCTTTCTGAACAAGAAAGCACCCATAAAATTTTCAATTAGGGGGCATTCTCTCACACTATTGCTGCATATTGCTATGTCTGTAAACAGTTTAACCAAAGAGTACAATTAAGTACTAACCAAATGTGTGCAAGAAGTTTTAATCTTTGATGTATTCGTGTCAGAATATTATTAGCATAAATATATAAGACATACAAGAAAGCAAGCTTTTTACGACAATATATGGGACAAACTTTGGCAAGGAGGTAACTAGTGCTAATATATTACCCGTCTTCTCACACGTGGAACAGCCTCAGGTGTGTTTGGCGATGTTGGTTCATTTAAAGTTTCTGAGGTGGAGCTGAGAGATGAATTGCTGCTTGAGAGTTCTTTGTTCTGTCTTCTGGTTCCAAATGGCAAGATTGATGCCACCAGGTCTGAATTGTCTTTCTGCTCTTCTTTCAGAGCATCCTGTTTTTGCTTATGGGCTCGATCATTGAAAATCACTTGAGACAATGGCATAGCAAAAGCATGTGGTGCGAATTCTGTTGATACATAAACACATTTAATTAACAAGGTCAAATCAATTCCTTTATCAGATTAAGCACTGTAAAAATAGTATGTGGACACAAGTGCTACTGATTGTATTGAATGACTCACTCTCATTGTTCGGTATGCTTTAATTAAAATGGAAAAAAAGTTATAATTCAAATCACATTTCAGCACATGCAGCATTACCTCAGTTTTAAGGTCAGAGAGACTGAAATAGTATCTGTACACAAAGCGTGCAAATCCCAACAACATTACAAGATAGTTTACTTTACAGCACTGCCAGAACCACTACTGCACAAATAGATATGGTCAGCAAGATTCAACTTCTATAAAATGGCAAGTGTTTGCCTTAGTGGTGACATTCCCACATCAGAGACAGAAAATGCAGGCTTCTGATTACATTCCAGATTATTCTGGTGAGGTGAATTTTGAGCCCCATTCTGAATTCTGTTTCAGTCTCCAAGAAAATATTTATTTCCATTATATATGTACATGATGATGAATAGGTATTTTGTGCAGTCACTGTTGTAAGGTAGGCAAACTTAACAATGTTATTTGGGCAGCTGTCTTTTGAATGACATTAAACCAAAGCCCCAGCTGCCCTCTTGGGGACAGGAACCAGTTTGTATGCAGCAAGGTCCTATAACCATCAATAATAAACAGATAACTTGTATTGGTAACATTGGTTTGTGAACAAATATTGATCAGGATACTGGGAAGAACATCTCTGCTGGTCTTCAAGATAACATCATGAGAATTTTCACATTTACAAGAGGACTGACAGTACCTTAGTTAACGTTTTATCGAAAAGCCGAGACTTCCAATAGTGCAACAATTCTCTTGATAAGGCACAGACTTTATCCTCAGATCTTTGAGATGTATTGTACAGAATATGCGATGTATAATGTTGTGCAATATATAATGTTGTGCAATGCATAGTGATATAATGCGGAATTCTTGTTGTTCTGATGATTCTCTGTCACTATAATTTATTATTATTCTAATTATATCACAATAAAGAGACAATTGGGGAGGTGATGACCTAGTGATATTATCGCTGGCCCATTAATCCAGGGAACCGGATAATGTTCTATGGATCCAGGTTCGAATCCCACCATGGCAGATGGTGGAATCTGACTTACAAAAAAAAACTGAAAGTCTAATGTTGACCACAGTTCCATCATTGATTGTTGGAAAAACCCATCTGGTTCACTAATATCCTTTAGGGAAGGAAACTGCCAGTCTTACCTGATCTGGCCTAAATGTGACTCCAGACCCACAGCAAATGTGGTTGACTCCTAACTGCCCTCAGGGCAATTAGGGATGGGCAATAAATGTTGGCCTTACCAGCCACACCCTCATCCCGTGAATGAATTTTAAAAAATTGCTTCGAGATCTCCTGGTACTTTCTTAGGAATAACTATTATGGCTAACCTGTACATGATTTGCTGATACACTATTGAAAATAAGAATGGTAAAATTCAGAATTGTCAGAGTACAAAGAGTTTTGGATCAGCTGCCTACCACACATGCCAGAGCAATTTCTTGTTCATTTTCATCAAATTCAATTTTAAATATTTTTTTTTAAAATTACATCACATATTCAACCTAAGAGAATGATAATGCACTTGTTAATGCAAGGCATTTTTCACCCCCATTGCCACTTATTCACATAGCACATCCTTACCAGCTCTAATAGAGTTACTGAAATGCACTTTGGCCCCTCATGCAGAATTTTCCTAGTCCGTGAACAACATAATAATGAGTCAGTTAAGAAAATATAGTGAGACTGAAACAAATGAGATTCTCAATGTTGGGAAAAAGTCTGACTTTAAATTCAGGGTTCGAACAGCGAGAGGACAATCTTGCTAGCAAGTGGCAAGAAGCTTATTTGCCTGCATTAACATCTCAGTAGTATCTTACCTAACCTCATTTTTATACAATTCCCTATTATCTCAAACAGCAGGGAGAAACTACATAGTGACAATTCCTGACATGTAAGTGAGACGAGGGACCTAGCAGTTCTGAATCCTCCAGAACTCCATGTTGGAGTCCCAATGTCTCAAGTTACACTTCATGGGCAGGGTCTGCTTGCATCTAACCATTTTCAGAGGTTGGCATGTGACACGCACCAGGCTTACAGCATCATCAAGGCACATCTCCAATCCACTTAGAATACAGTCCTCTCTTTCAACATTGCACCTTGGAATGCACTAACACTTTATTGTAATGTTGCTGCTGGCCATTCTGCATGCAGGAACAGGTGCCCATCTCATGCAGCTTTCAGATTCCTGATGGAAACTATTAAAGACACCAAGCTGCACAATGTCCTCAGCAGTCACGCTGACAGAGTGCAGTGAAGATGCAACTAGTCATGGCCAGGCAGGTCTATCCATGCAAGCACCGATTTTCTATTAATGTCCTGAGGATTCTTGGCCAGGTCCACCGACATCAAGCTAGCATTATTCTCTGATCACTGCCTCCTGCTGGCCGACTATCATAATACGGGGTGACCAATGGACCAATGAGGGAATGTGGAAGCTGAATGTGAAACTATTGACCCCAGAACACATTGAGAAGCTCAAAAAGGGATTACACAGGTTGGAGAACTGTGAAACCTCTGTTCAAGTCTCCAGCAGACTGGTGGAAAAGAGTGAAGGGGAACGTCAAGAGGTTCTTCATCCTCAAAAGCTGTTCAAAGGATATGAATAAGGGAGACCGATGGAGAGTGGGAAAGGGAGACAGAAAAAAAAACTGTCCATATTCCAGAAAAGCATGCAGAACCTACTCCTATTGCAGACGATAGGGGTCACTGCAAAGGAG